ACCCAAGTGCACACATCTGAATGACCATCACACATATTCAAGTGCACATATCTGAATGACCATCTCACATACCCATCACACATATCCAAGTGGACACATCTGAATGATCACACTCTCAAGCATGGTCATCTCTGGGAAAAGATGTTGGCTTAAAACAGAGGAATTCTTATCCTCGAATCTCATGTCAAGAGACAGCTTTACTTTTCTATCCCTTAGATCCCAGAATAACTGGGGTGGCAATCTAATTGGAAGCTCTGATCCTTAAAAGAATTATATACAGCAAACCTCATGTATGGACAGCCAGTATTTAAAAGACTTGGCACAATAAAGTTTTGCTCACGCATCATGGCTGAGCTCATTTCACACCTCAAGTAGGAGCCGAAGTTGTTAAGTCTCTGAATTTCACCACAGGCTGGAAAAAGCCCTTCCCCGACACCACCATCAGGCTGTGTCCTGATGCCATCCTACCAGGTGATGCAGGTCTTGCAAGATGCATGGAGCTCAGATTAAGTGTACCATCTCACACAGAAACCAGCTGTTAGGAATGTCTCCTAAGAAAACATCCAGGTGAATGCATAAAGAAAGGAGGTCACACCACCCCCGTTACTGAAGATCTAAGCATTATGGAAAGAAAAAAGCAGGGGGTCCAGCAAGATAGTTGGAACAGGGCCCTGAGGGCAGATGGAAAGGGATGCTTCTGGCAAAGTCCCAGGAAGGGAGCCATGCCTTACCTGATTGTTGGAGGAAGGTGTTCCAGTTAAAGTTGACATTTGGTATCGTTGCAATTCCTGGTGGAAGGAATATAAAAGAAAAAGAAGTGAAGTTTTGGTTCTTATAAATCCATTCAACCTCCCAAGCACTACAATGGAGTTTCATGAGCCCCTTGACACAGAAATTGGGTTCACCTGTGGATGCCAGGACTGCACCATCCTGCTGAACCACCTTCCCTCTCTGGGTGGTACAGACCTTGAACTTTTTAAAGAGACTCGGCAAAGTCTTCTAAAACATTAGCATTTAGCCGGGCAGGTGGTAGTGCACGCCTTTAATCCCAGCATTCAGGAAGCAGAGGCAGGTGAATCTCTGTGAGTTCAAGTCAGCCTGGCCTACAAAGCAAGTTCCAGAAGAGCTAGGGCTGTTATACAGAGAAACCCTGTCTTAAAAACCCAAAAATCAAAACTAAAAAGTGATGTGGGATTTCTCTCTGTATGCTGTGAATACCATTGATTAATAAAGAAGCTGTTTGGGGCCTGTGATAGGGTAGAGCAGAGCTAGATGGGGAGAACTAAACTGAATGCTGGGAGAAAGAAGGCGGAATCAGAGAGAAGCCACATAGCCCTGCCAGAGACAGAAGCCAGAACTTTACCCGGTAAGCCACAGCCTCCTGGCGATACACAGATTAATGGAGATGGGTTAATTTAAGATATGAGTTAGTCCGAAATACACTTAAACTATTGGCCAAACAGTATTGCAAATAATATGGTGTCTGTGTGATTATTTCGGGACTGAGCAGCTGGGAACTAACTAGTGACTTCTTACTATAAAAAAGCGAACAAAAAACTGGGTAAAGGTTCACTTTCATTTTTTTTTTCTGAAGCATGCATGGGCAGCCCGTATATGGTGTTTGGACAGATGGCTCAGTGGTTTAGAGCACTGCCTGCTCTTCCAACGGTCCTGAGTTCAATTCCCAGCAACCACATGCTGGCTCACAACCATCTGTAAGGAGATCTTGTGCCCTCTTGAGGAAGAGACCTGGTCAGTTGTCCTTATCAACTTAGACCATGAAACCCAATATGGACAGGTTCACCTTCATTTACAACTCCTAAATTCAAGAATCAATGTATACATATACACAGTTGTACACTCTGTCATTTCCTCAGATGGACTTAAGCTAAAACAAACGTTTCGGCCAAGAGTGATGACTCATGCCTCTAACCTGGGAGGCTGGGAGGCAGGAGGATTGCATCCAGTTCCAAGCTCTCCTGTAACCCATGCTGGCCACTCACTCAGCTTTGACCTCCTTTCTGAGTTCACCAAGTGCTATGGTCTCAGAGGTCCACTAGATCCTGGGTGGCATGATGAAGCCAGGAGAGGCCTGTGGAGCCAACACATGTCAGTGTTCCCTGCTTCAGCCACTATACCTCTGTCCACCTGACACAAAAATCAGTCCCAAATCAGTCTTTGGAACCCTCTGCCCATCCTCTGTCCTCTAGGGTAGTGCCTTGTAAAGGTCACTGTAGCTAGCTAAGATAGTCGTGTGCCACTGTCGGGGGTACTGGGAGAGAGGGAGGATGGCTTGGTGCAGTAGAGTCCACCACACCCCCAGGACAAGGCAACTCTTTGTCTCAGTTCGGTGTTATACAAGCTCCTGTAATTACAGATAAAGATAGAGGTAGGATGACCCGGAGGTCAAGGTCAACCTGGGTCAGAGAGTCTCTGAAAAGAAAAACCAAACACAGGCCTTGATGGCACTGCGTGTCTTTAATCTCAGCCCTCAGGAAACAGAGGCAGGGGGATCTCGGTAAGTTTGAAGCCAGCCTGGTCTACAGAGTCAGTTTCAAGATAGCCAAGACTACACAGAGAAAAATCTATCTTGAGAAGCAAGCAAGAGAAAGAAAGGAAGGAAGGAAGGAAGGGAGGGAGGGAGGGAGGGAGGGAGGGAGGAAGGGAGAAAGAGAGAGAGAGAGAGAGAAAGGAGGGAAGAAAGAAAGAAAGAAAGAAAGAAAGAAAGAAAGAAAGAAGAAAGAAGAAAGAAGAAAGAAGAAAGAAAGAAAGAAAGAAAGAAAGAAAGAAAGAAAGAAAGAAAGAAAGAAAGAGCAAACAAGAAATAAAATACACCTGGACAGTGGAGTCTCTCCACTGGTGGAAAACATGGTCATATTCATTCCTCTCTATATTTTATAATTTCCCCATCTTTTATTCTAATGTTAGAAAGCTACAGAAAGTTATCCTCTCTGCTAATTATTCTAAGTATGTTTTTGGAAACGATAGTATCTCATCACCCAACATTGTTTCAAAATATAGAACAAATTGGGGCCGAGCGAGATGACTCAGTAGAAGAAGATGCTTGCCACCAAGCCTGATTTCAATCCTTGGGATCCACACGGTGAAAAGAACGAACAAAGTCAGACAGTGACACCCGCCTTTGATCCCAGCCCTCAGGCTGAGGCAGGTGGATCTCTGAGTTTGAGGGCGGCCCGGTCTACAGAGTGAGCTCCAGGACAGCAAGGGCTACACAGAGAAACCCTGTCTTGAAAAACCAACAGAAGAAGAGGAAAAAAAGGAAGAAAAGAGAGGAGAACCAAGTCCCAAAAGTTGTCCTCTAACTTTCACGTGTGCGCAGTGGTATGAATATGAACACAAATAGGTAAAATAAATGCAATAAACTGTATATGTATTATAAATATGTTTTAATAAATTACATACACACACATGTATTAAAATTCTTACCTTGACTCTGGACAAAGATCTTCCCAGTAGCATGTGGCTTTTGAAAGGGAAAGAATGGGGGGAAGTTAATTGCATGATCCAATCATTCTGTGCTTTTTAGAAATCAAGATAATTAAATACCCATTCGGAAACATCTCTAAGTCACCCACATTGGCTTCTTAGGGGTACAGAGGTCCTTCCACCCTAATGAGTTTTGCATTGCTAAGAAGAATGAAAAAAGAAATGCCACGTACTGCAGCCTCATAGGGGCTGTCAGCAGAAGAGTCCCTGAGGCCTCAGAGGGCACCTGCTGCTGAAGCAGGGGAAGGTGGGGCAGTGCCATTCAGCGATGGAACTTTGTCCCTAACTTGAGAAAGGTATCTCCTATCCCTCGGGATGAAGGAAGAAGAGGAAGAGGAGGGAGGAAAGAAAGAGGATGGGGAGAGGAAAGGAAAGGGGAAGAAGAAGGTGGGAAGAAAGGAGGAGGTGGTGGGGAGAGACTCAAAGAGCACAGTGGTGGCCAGTGAGGACAGGTTGGCCTCAAGACCTGGCAGAGCCCTCCGTGTCTCCAGGATTCAGGCAGAAGCAGCGGTCCCCTCTTCTGCTCCCTTCCTTCTTCTCTCCCTCTCTCTTCTTCTGTCCTTTCCCTTCCTTCTCTCATATCATTCCTCTTCTTTCTTCTCTTCCTCTCCCTTTGTGACAAGATGCCAACACTCTTATTCTTTGTGGCGTTCCCTGGTGAAAGGGCATAAAGCCACTAGAGAGCAAAGAATTCATTTTTCTAGGTCCTGGAGACACGGGGGACTAATAACCATTAAATGAACAAAGGTGGGAGTTGGAGAATGGCAGGAAGTACCCTGTGCCATGGCAGAGGGGATTCGAAGATGCCAATGGCTGTGGTTGAAATACAGCTCTTGTGGAGGTGAGCTGTGGGGACCAATACTGTGTAACTTTTTATTTTGTAACCTAATATCCTCTTGTTGCTGTTGTTTTGTTGGTTTTGTTTGAGACAGGATTTCTCTGTGTAACAGCCCTAGCTTTCCTGGAACTTGCTCTGCAGACCAGGCTGGCCTCGAACTCACAGAGATCCACCTGCCTCTGCTTCCCAAGTGCTGGGATTAAAGACGTGTGCCACCACTTCCCAGAGTAACCTAAATATTCTGATGAAGGCAGGAAGGTCTTCCTAAAGCCAGAGGTCATCATTCCTGTCATGTGTACACACACACACGTGCACACATACATATATGAGGGGGGCATAGCACCACCGCTAGGAAAGCAAGGTCCTGACATTATAAGGGGTATGTATAATGGTCCTCAAACTAATTTGTCAGTTTGGAGAACAAGCCGTGGTGATAAAGCCCCGCCCGTCAGGCAAACATCCCATGGAATGATGGAGAGCCAGCCGCAGGTCTGAGGATGAGCAGCTTCCATTCCAGAACACTGAGGTTCCCTTCAGTTTGGCTTTGGCCTCAGCACCACCTTTTTCATTTAGCTCTTTGAACCACTGGTCCACCAAAGCCTCCGCTGTCCTACACAAGACGCTGTATGGCGGATACGGGTGTCCCTGAGGGAATCCCTTGAAATCCCAAGTCTTTAAAGAGAAAGTATTTCAAAATTTAAACCAAAAAAAAATTACTTCTCAGTTAGGCACAGTGGTGTTGTCTATAATTTCATCACTTCAGAGACTAAAAACAGGAGAATGGCCTCGAGTTCAAGGGCAGCCTGGGCTACAGCAAGACTCTGTCTCAGAACAAGGCAAAACAAAATGAAAATCTCCTATTTAAAGAAGATGATAGAGACTTTTCACAAAACAAAACACAAATAAATAAATAAATAGAGGAGTGGACACAGGCAAGTTACCCTGTGGCACCGTAGCCCTCGCTAGCACGTAAATTCAAAAATAATAAGAAGCTCAAAGGTGTGCTAGCTAAACCCTCATCGTGGGCTGTGGTCTTGGGGGACTTGGTGCTTCAGAGCAGCAACTTCCTCAGGACTGACTTTCCTGCCCATGGCCCCTGAGCCATACTTGTCTCCATAGATATTGTGCCATGCCCGAGCCCAACTTTTTCCGGGATTCCAGGTCTCTCATCTCCTGACTCGGGGCCTCTCCATATTGGAACCCATATACAGGAGCATATTCCCATCTCAGGTTATTTGTTTGCGTAAGATGGGACCTCCTGGAGCCGAGGTTGACCTCAAACAAGCCCGGTAGCTGAGGGCAACTTTGGTTTCTGATTCTCCGCTTCTGAGTACTTGCATTGTGGAGGCAAGCCACTAAGGTTTTGTGGGCTGGGGATGGAACTCCGGGTTGTGCGTGTGCTAAGGAGCATGCTCCCTACTGAGCTGCATCCGAGCCCAGTTATAAATGCCTTCCGTGTCTTGCTCACGGAGTGAGTGTTTTCATGGTGAGACCCCGCCTTGTTTGACAGGGTTATCTCCCGTAGTTACAGTGTATTATGCAGCATATTTTCTGCTTGGCAATAGATTTTATGTGAAAAGGTGTAGGAGAAGAGTAAAGAACCTCCCTGAGAAGTGCCGATCTCCGTGTGATCTGCACTGAGTGTGAACACTGTGTGTATGGGTGGCGATTTCCTCTAAGCAATCCGTAACAATTAGATACAGTCTTTTAAGAAAGCTACAGTCAGGAGTCATTTCTGTGATTTCAAAGCAAACATTAAGTCTTAGATTCTGAACCTACTACGAGAACTTTTAATGTAGTTTCCACTGGCGAAAAGTTGAATGTTAAGATTAGCCTTTTTATTTTATTAGCCAAAGAACGGGAGGTCTTCTTGTAGCTGTGGTCTGGTCTTTCTTTTCCTTTGTCTTTTCCCTCATCTTGGGGTGCTCACCCTCAGAGACAAGCGCTGCACCACTGAGCCCTGCCTCCGCCCCCTCACCCAGTGCTATGGCAACACCAAGCTAAGCGGCAGCTCCTCGTTGGTGGATTCTAGGCAGGTGCTCTACAGCTGAGCCCAGCCCCACCCTCGTCATCCCCGCCACCGCTCTCTTTTCCGTTTTAGTCTAGGAAATGGGTCTCTTACAGAGACTCGCTTATTTCAGAGCATGTACCTAAAAGGACGCTGGCTTTTCCTATCAAATAATTAGTCAAATTAAGTATTAAGTTCTCCCATTTATTAAAGTGGAATTTAATACTCTCCCCATTCCTCTTAAACTATCACACAAAGCAGCCTGGGCTCTCAACTGTTCAGGCGTTCATTAGATCCCAGAGAAATAGCCCTGGGAGGTGAGTGAACAGACACTCACAAGTCTCTAGGCACGGCCATTTCTCCCCGTCACAGAGTTCAGCTGCCAGCTTAATTAATTTTGGGTAGAAAGGGGAACTGAAAGGGTCATCTTGACTTTTTGTGCTTGTGTTAGAAAGTGTATTTCTCATGAGAATCGCAGCAAGATTGTGCTGGGATCAGCATGTCACTACATCCAACTTAATTACCTTTCTAGAAATGAAGGTGGAGAGAATGCATGTCTAAGCTTTGAACTGGCTTCTTTGCTTAAAACCACATTTAAATACATTATTTCGGGGCACATACATATTATCTCCTTTTTAAAAGTGTGAGGAGGGGGATGGGGAAGAAAAACCATGTGCCTGCAGTGCTCCAAGAGGCCAGAAGAGGGCATCAGAGCTCCTGGGACTGGAGGTAGATGATTGTAAACTGTCACATGGGAATTGAACCTGCGTCCTCTGCAAGAGCAGCCAGTGCTCTTCACCACCGAGCCATCTGTAGCCTCCATATTCTCTCTTTTGAAGCCAGAAAGTACCAGGCATGGTGGTGTGGTAGTGGCTTCAAAACTTCTAATCCCAGCACTTGGGAGGCAGAGGGAGGCCCAGCTCTTTGAGTCAAGGTCAGTCTGTTCTACATAGTAAGTTCCAGGCTACCCAGGGCTACACGGTGAGACCAGACTTCAGGAAAGAAAAGGAAAAAAAGGAAGAGGAGAAGGAGGAAGAAGAGAAGGACAAAAACCACACGAGCACTAGAGGAGGTCCTGTAATCTTTCTAATCTAGGATTACTGATATTTGATCACACTTTGGTAATAATTAGGCAAGATTAACAAGGCTACAGCCTGGGTCAAGCCCGCTTCCAAAACAGAGAGCATAAAATTAAAAACCAAAGCTGGTTTCTCCTCCGGGAAGATTAAGACTGCGCTGCTCAAAACACATTATCACCGTTCATGGTACAGGAATCAAAGTCTCTCCTCCAAAATCGAAAAGAATTCCATAAACACGGCTGAGTAAGAAACCTTTCTATTAGTTATACATATTTGTATTTGAAAAAAATCAAATCAAATAAAGATATTGGGCTGAACTTTATTGAAAAACCCACCCACCAAGCCTGTACAAAATGTGTATTAAAAATAACTTCACTTTCAAATTTAATAGCTATCCCAGACTCATAGCTACGAAAACAAGTTAATATCATTTTTTATTAAGTTTATCTCGGTACCTCCTACATCCTCATCCGGGACAAAGCCATCTAAGCTACTTCACAGTGTTTTCCTTCCTTAGTTTTTTTTTAATTTTTAAGATTTATTTTTAATTATATGGATATATGAAGGTATGTATGTGCACATGGGTGTAGGTGCCCATGGAGGCCAAAAGAGAGCATCAGATCTCCTAGAACTGGACTTACGGGCAGATGTGAGCTACTTGGGGTGGACCTGACCTCAGGTCCTCTGTGAGAGCAATATATACTCTTAATTACCGACCGAGCTATCTTTGCAGTCCTTATTTTTTATTGAAAAAGATTTGCTTTACACCTATTTATTTTATTTTACGTGCCTGAGTGTTTTGCCTGTGTGTGTATATTTGTAGCACATGCATGCTTGAAGCCTGCAAATGCCTTAAGATGGCATTAGATCATCTGGAACTGGAGTTAAAGATGATTGTGAGCTGCCATGTGGGTGCTGGGAACAAAACCTGGGCTTTTGGGAGGTGGAGTAAGTGCTCTCAACCACTGAGCTATCGCTCTAGCCCCTCCCTCGACATTTGTTTGTTTTTTCAAATGCCTACTAGTCTTGGCAAGGGATTGTCCACGCTTAGATCTGACTGCCCCAGGGTAGTGTTTATATATATTTGGTAACATATGTGTGTGTATACATATACATACCTATATTCATATATATATATATATGTGTGTGTGTGTGTGTGTGTATGTATGTATATATTCTGTAGCTTATACATATCTGAGGCAGGTGTGGTTGTACATGCTTTTAATCCCAGCACTTGGCAGGCAGAGATAAGCATTCTCTGTAAGTTCCAGGCTAACCTAGTTTACATAATGAAACATGGTTCTACCCATACATTAGTGCATCTCTCAGTTCTCATGAGAGAAACATCTTTTTTGCTGTAGATGGTGATTAACACAGAGACCCACAACTGGTCATGGCGTAAAGAATGAGAGACTGGAATGCTCAATCCTGAATGGCACAGCTACATCACATTCCGTCTACCCAAGGCTCAGGCATTATTGCAGAAAAGGGGGTGGGAAGGCCGGAAGAGCCAGAGGCAGTAGGTGACTTCGAGAAAACAATGTTTGATGGGGAAGCTCAGCCAATCACATTTGGCTAGGGTGTGGCCGCCTGGGGCCAAGGAAGAAGGACCTGGGAATCCGGGTGCCTGCCCCTAGTTTTGGCTCTCTGGGCTGCACGTGGTGCTCTCGGGACCTCGGTTGTGTGAGTTTCTCTGTTTTCTAATTATCAAATTATATTTCTTTGATTTTGAGCTGATCTGGTTAATTCTAACTACCGGTCGACCACGCCCATCAAATGTTTTCTTACACAGCAGGGCAGTTTCCTATATTAGCTCACAGCAGCTGAGACAGTGTGCGTAATACCCATGCAAGCTAAAGCCAGACAAGATCTCGGCATGGGAGCTGGAGAGATGGGTCAGTGGCTAAGAGCATTGGCTGCTCTTCCAGAGGGCCCGGGTTTAATTCCCAGCACCCACGTGGCAGCTCACAACTGTCTGTAACTCCAGTTCTAGGGGGTCTGATAACCTCGCATAAAATTACGTGCATTGAGTTTTGCATGCAAGCAAAACTCAATGCACGTAAAATAAAGATAAATAAGTTAAAAAATAAATCTCAGAATAGGGGGGAAGAAGACACAAAGTCTCACCCTTAGCTGAGGAGCTATCAACAACTGCTGACTCCGGGGAGAGGAAGAGACAACTTTCTTTGTGCACGTGGCCCCTAGGTGGTTGACGACACCTCAGGGTGTGTCCCATATGAAAGAGTATATGTAGAGTCAACTGGACTCAAAGGTTTTACAAAACAAAAGAGAACACAAAGTTGTGTGGGTATGAAAGGAAGACAGATCTGGGAGGAGGAGGAATAGAGGGAGATAAACGTGCTCAATAACACTGTATGGGGCTGGAGAGGTGATTCACTGGCTAAGAACACAGACAGTTCCTGCAGAGGACCTGAGTTCGATTCCCAGTACCGATACGATGGCTTACAGCTTTCTGTAATTCCAGCCCCAAGGGGCTCAGACAAACATGTAGAACACAGATAGAATGCAGAAAATATATATATATATATGAATATGTATACATATATATATTTTTTTTTAATTAAAAAAATGTTTCCTACATTGTATAAAACTCTCAAAAAATTAATGAAAGAAAACTTTGAAACATCATCACTAAACTTTTTAAGGGTATCCACACTGGAAACAGCAGCACACAACTGTGCCATCCCACCACGGTCTAGACGGCCTCCCTGTCCCCGAGCCCTACTGGAAAGACTCCAGAAGAACACGTACCCACTGCATCTGCGCTGTGTCCTTCATTGCCTCTGTGAAAGCCACGGCAAACCTAGTCAATGGATAGAGAAAACAGTCAATTAGGCTGGAATTCAATTAGCACAACTCTGAGGCAGCACTTCCCATCAACTCATGAGAGCCGGACAGGGCACGGTTCCATCCGCTGTCATTACTCCCGGTCACTGCCCATTAGGCCCCGTCTCCACCCACACCAGAAAATGCTGTGGGAGGGAGATAAACTCAACGATGCTCGAAACCTCTTATTTCTCTTGTTCCTTTCTAATAATGCTAGAAAAAGCAGAGATTAAAAATCAAAGGCCAGAGCTGGGGCAATGACTGAGTTGTTAAGAATATTTACTGCTCTTCCAGAGGCCCTGGATTCAGTTTCCAGCAACCACGTGCGGCGGCTCACAAACACCTGTTACTTACTAGCTCCTGGGTACCTGACACCCTCTCTGACACCTGCGTACATGCAGCATGCACACTAACGTACATTTATGGGTTTTTTTTTAAATCATCAAAAGCCAGAAAACCAAGTTCAGTAGGTGACATAGTTAATATGTTATGAGAAGCACACCAGGGCAAGGGGCACATGACAGGGTGTGTGACCAGGGAATTCTGTGTGTGCTATAGTGCCCATATCTGCCCAAGAAACCTGTACGATAATGGGAATACTTACATCTTAAAGCCATGTAGCACACACACACACACACACATGCATTCAGGTTTATATATACAAATAAATTTTTTAAAACAATAGAAGAAAAGGTCAGTCCTAAGTGAAGCACAATTAATAAAATCTCAGAGACAGATATTGGGGTTTAACCTGAAGACCAGAAAAGCAAAGCAACAAGCCACTGGCTCTAAACCTCAACCTCGGTCCAAAAATGGTGATCCTGCCTCCAGGAAACTTCAGAATGAGACTGTGTGTGAGAGCTGTCTCCTCCTGTCTTATATTCCTCTCAAGCTCTGGGATTAAGAGTGTGCACCACTACTGCCTGGTTTCTATGGCAAACTAGGGCGGCCACTGGGATTAAAGGTGTGTGTCATCCAAGGCTGGCCAATGTGGCTGTCTTACTTTTCTGATCTTCAGGCAAGCTTTATTTACTAAAAATACAAATGAAATGCCACTATACCTAAGGGGCTCCAGTGCTAAGAAAATGGGGGACCTCTATTTTAGGCTGTTGACCAGGCCACTAAAGATCGCTCAGCAGGACGAAGCTTACTGTTAAGTCTTACCACTGGAGTTTGATTCCCCTGGGATTCTACATGGTGGAAAGAAAGAACGAACTCCCACAAGTTGTTCCCTGACCCCACATGGGAGCTGTATCATGCTCACACATGTGCATGCGTGCACACACACACTAAATAGATGTATTTTAAAAGATTGCCTTTTCTGTAACAAGAGTGCAACAGATACATTTTAACTGAGTTGTCTAAGACATTTATTGCATAAGAATTACGTAAAGATATTCCTTTTTGACCAAACCAGGTGATAAAAACCCACAACTGAATTATAATAGCATCAGACAGTAATTTTTTTTTCAGACGGTAGCTTTAAGGATTAACCATACACATAATTCTATGACTGTCACACAGAAAGATTTTCGAGTCAGGAGCTCTCTAAGTCAAAGTCACTCCGTCAATCACCATCTTGAAAGGGTGCAGAACCATCTAAGAAACAGGTCCTATCTATGAGGGAGTACCTAGACTAGGAAAACTGAGTTGGGAAGACCCAACCTGACTGTGGACAGCACCATGCCGAGGGCTGGGGCCCTGGGCTGAATAAAAGGGATGGTGTGAACTGAACATCAACATGTATTGTTCTTTTCTTCCTGACTTGTGGACACTATATGGCCAACTGCCTCACATTCCTGCCACAATGGCTTCCTTGCCAGGACGAACTGGACAGTACCTTTAAACTGCAACCTCAAATAACCTTCCCCCCTTTTCAGAGTTTTTCCATGGAGGCTTGGGCTGGCCTTGAACTTAGAGATCCTTCTGTCCCTACCTCTAAGGTACTGGGTTAAAACGTGCCCACCACCACACCTAGGTCCTTCCTTAAGTAGCTTCTGTCAAGTATTTTGTCACAGCAGTGAAGAAAGTAACTGTCCTGGAGAGTTTTATGTCAATTTGACACAAGCTAGTGTCATCAGAGAGGAAGGAACCTCAACCTCAGTTGAGAAAATGCCCCCATGAGATCAAACAAGCCTGTGGAGCATTTTCTTAATTAGTGATTGATGCAGAAGGGCCCAGCACATCATGGGTGGTGCCATCCCTGAGCTAATGGCCCTGGGTTCTCTAAGAAAGCAGACTGAGCAAGCCATGAGGAGCAAGTCAGTAAGCAGCACTCCTCCATGGCCTCTGTATCAATTCCCACTTCCAGTTTCCTGCCCTATTTGAGTTCCTGTCCTGACATCCAGATGATAAACTGTGATGTGGAAGGGTAAGCCAAATAAACCCTTTCTCCCCCAGCTTGCTCCTGGTCATGGTGATTCATGACATCACAGCAATAGTAACCCTGACTAAGACAAAATCAAATATGCACGTTACTGAGTAGCAACCATTCAAGATAAAGAACACAGAGCTGAGACTCATATTACACACTGGCACATATACAAAGTACAGTGATTAAAACTATATTGTCTGGCATAAGAACAGACAGGAGGACCAATGGAACCAAATAGAAGACCCGGATATCAATCCACAAACCTTCGAACACCTGATTTTTGACAAAGACCAAAAAATATCAAATGTAAAAAAGGAAGCATATTTAACAATTAGTGCTGGCATAACTGGATATCAACATGTAGAAGAATGAAAATAGACCCATATCTATCACCATGCACAAAACTCAAGTCCAAATGGATCAAAGACCTCAACATAAAGCCAGCCATACTGAACCTTACAGAAGACAAAGTGGGAAGTACACTTGAACGCATTGGCACATGAGACCACTTCCTAAATATAACCCCAGTAGCACAGACACTGAGAGAAACAATTAATAAATGGGACCTCCTGAAACTGAAAAGCTTCTGTAAAGCAAAGGACATGGTCAACAAGACAAAACAACAGCCTACAGAATGGGAAAAGATCTTCATTAACCCCACATCAGACAGAGGTCTGATCTCCAAAATATACAAAGAACTCAAGAAATTGGTCATCAAAAGAACAAATAATCCAATTTAAAAAAAAAATGGAGTACAGACCTAAACAGAGAACTCTCAACAGAGAAGTCTAAAATGGCTGAAAGACACTTAAGGAAATGTTCAACATCTTTAGTTATCAGAGAAATGAAAATCAAAACAACTCTGAGATTCCATCTTACACCTGTAAGAATGGCTCAAAAACACTGATGACAACTTATGCTGGAGAGGATATGGGGAAAAGGGAACACTTCTGAATTGCTGGTGGGAATGCAAGCTGGTACAGTCCCTTTGGATGTCAGTGCGGCGATTTCTCAGAAAATTAGGAAACAACCTTCCTCAAGACTCAGTAATACCACTTTTGGGTATATATCCAAAGGATGCTCAATCATACCACACGGACATGTGCTCAACTACGTTCATAGCACCTTTGTTTGTAATAGCCAGAACCTGGAAACAATCTAAATGCCCTCGACCGAAGAATGGATAAGGAAAATGTGGTACATTTACCCAATGGAGTACTACACAGCAGTAAAAAATTAATGACATCTTGAATTTTGCAGGAAAATGGATGGAGCTAGAAAACATTATTTTGAGTGACACAGAAAGACAGTTATCACATGTACTCACTCATAAGTGGTTTTTAAACATAAAGCAAAGAAAGCCAGCCTACACACCACAATCCCAGAGAACTTAGACAACAATGCGGACATTAAGAGAGACTTACATAGATCTAATCTACATGGAAAGCAGAAAGGATAAAAAGACAAGATCTCCTGAGTAAAGGGAGCATGGGGACCTTGGGAAAGGGTTGAAGGAAAAGGGAGAGGCAGGGAGTGGAGCAGAGAAAAAATGTAAAACTCAATAAAAGTCAATAAACAAGCAAAAAAACTGTATTGGCAACAAGAAAAAGAATGGGAGCTCAAAAGTGAACATGAGGCCAGGAGCAGACTCAAACACATCTAAGGGTTTAGCGCAATGGCAGAGAAGAGGTTCCATAAGTCGCAAAGGTTCCTACCCTCCTACCCAGGATATATCTCAGAAGATGTGATAATGCTAGGTAGGGGCTGGCTGGAGAGACAGCTCAGTGGTGACGAGCACTGGTTGCTCTTCCAGACAACCTGAGTTCAATCCCAGCACCCACATGGTGGTTTACAACCATCTGTAACTCCAGTCCCAGATCTGACAGCCTCTTCTGCCCTTTAAGAACACTGCATACACAGAGTTCACAGACACACATGCAGGAAAATAGTCAATCACAAAAACTAAAGAGAAAGGAAAAGAATTTTTAAGTAAACAGTAGCAAATGGCAAGTATTCTTTTCCAAAAATATACCCAGAAACAAAATGATCCTAATTTTCAGATATACTTCATTTAATTTTGATATTTATAATATAATTACCAAGTACTTACTATGTCATAATTCTTAGAAGCTGATAACCTAATCCAAAATTAAAATAGAATACTAGACTGCATGGAATAAAGGTTTAAAATACTGAAAAAATTCACACAACCCCATAGAAAAAAATACACCAACTTAAAAAAGTGTTTAATTAAAAATGAAATGTTCATTAAGAAGCCAGGCAAACTCAATACCTCGTTTACAGAAACATGAGCTGTGTGATGTCAAACAAGAAATCCATGATTCATGCATCTCTCTTGCCCACTGGCCTTAATTACCCCCAAATAGAAAATCAATATTTGTTTTAATAACAATGTGATAAGTAACCCTAAAGATAATACTGCAAGATAGATTTGTTCAATAATATTTCTAGTAAACAGAATTACTTTTCTTCCTTAGGGCTGTACAGCATGAACCATGCAAATAGAAAGATAATATGTTTTTAAAATGTGCAAGAATTAGTAAGGAATATTCACTAATGGGTCACTTTTCTTAAGATTTTTTTGTGTATGTGTATGAGTGAACGTGTGTGTGTGTGTGTGTGTGTGTGTGTGTGTATGTGTTTGCACTGTGTGGGTGCAGTACCTATGGAGGCCAGAAGAGGGTGCTTATGCCCTGGAGCTGGAGTTATATATACTCCAGCTATATCAGGAGCCACCTGATGTGGGTATAAGGAAGGGAACTCAAGTCCTCTGTAAAGGGAGCTAAAGCTTTTGTGTTATTGTTGTTGTTATTTGTTTAGGGGGTTTTGTTTGTTTTGGGTTTTTATTTTTGAGTATTTTTTGAGACAGGTTTTTTTCTGTGTGTTTTTTTGTTTTTTAAGATTTATTTATTTTGATTTTCTGTGTATGAGTGTTTTTCCTGTGTATATGTATGTATACCACGTTCACACATTGCCCATGCAGGTCAGAAGGTGCTGGCCACAGCTAGTGTTTGGGGCATGGGTTCCCACGCTCTTCCCACAGAACTAATGGATATCTTGGAGAAGCACCACCTACAGGCCATAGAGCCATGCTCTTGGGGGCTCTCTGCTTCCAGGTGGCTGGGAGTAATGTGTAAATGGAGGACTCAGCCAGGGCACAGAATCTCGCTGGTGACTGCTCTCTATAACGGTTTACAGAACTCACAAGGCAACACAGACAGGAGCCATACACACTGAATAGTGAATAGCCTTACTTAGTGAGTGACAAGCATGAGCCTTGGGCTGGGAAACCTAGCATAGGCCTGCTTAGCATCATCTGCTCAGCCCTGCACTGTGGTGCATTCATGCAGTTCCAGAACTTGGGAGGTGAAGGCAGGAGCCGAGTTCAATGTCATCCACAGTGGTCAATCCTCAGCTAACCACAGTGATCAAAGTTAGCCTAGGCTACAAAAGACCCTGTTTCAGTATACACACACACACACACACACGCACACACAAGCTGTCTTCCTACCACACAGAACCTTCTAAAATGCTCATGCGATATTAGCATTAGGCCAGTTATAATGACTCACTTGGTTACAAGGAGAATTTGTAGCAAAATAAAACTATACTGAAGGACAGTTTTGTTTTGTGGACTTGTTTTGAGACAGGGTCTCTCTCTCTCTCTATGTGGCTTTGACTGTCTGAGAACTTGCTATGTAGAGCAGGTTAGCCTTAACTCTCAGCTAGCCACCTGCCTCTGTCTCCCAAGTTCTGGAACTAAAGGCACGAGCCACTATGCCTGGCAAGGGCCTTTTTATTGGTGGTGAGAATTTGCTTTCCCTGCTAGGATGCAAGCCCTCCCGAAGCAGAGCACAGAGGGATGGCCTTACCTGGCTTCCTCCAGAACCTTCCCCATGACTTCATTTTTTTCTTTGTGATTGGCATCTTCATTTAAATCAGTTCCACCAAAGATGACCCCAAAAGGAATGCCGTGACCTGCAAAATGATGACAAGTGGAACACATGGGACAGCAGGGGGTGACCCTTGACAACTGGCCTGCAGCCATGAAGCAAAAGCGGAAGTTCCCGTAACCCAGAAGCCAGCTGCATGGCTTTTCTGTCATCTATTTTGAAAGAGAGCTCTAGAGCCCAGGCTGCTGGCCTGGAACTCTCAATTTTCCTCCCTCAGCAAACCCAGGGCTAGAACTCCAGGTGTGTGCCACCATTCCCAGATGTGTGTGCGTGCATGCGTGTGTGTGTGTGTGTGTGTGTGTGTGTGTGTGTGTGTGTAATATGTGTGAGGGCATGTATTTGCCACAGTGCTAGTGTGGATGTCAGAGGACATCTTTGTGGAGTCAGTACTCCCTACCTTTATGTGTGTTTTGTAAATTGAACTCTAGTGAGTCTATTCACTGGCCTGGTGTTGTTTTCTTTTTGAGGCAGGTTGACCTTGAATTTATTTCCTTGACAATAACCTTGAACTCCTAACCCTCAAGCTTCCACCAAGGCTGGGCCAAAGGGCTGAGATTTCCCACAAGCACTGCCACACCCAATTTATATCCCTCTAGAGGTTGAAACCGAGGCTTTGTGCAGGCTTGACAAACACTCTACCAGCTGAGCTTCAGCCCCAGTCCCTAAGTGCAGTGTGTTTGGTGTCAGTTCCGGTCTGTTCAGCTCTCTAGAGGAATGGCAGATAACACTATTAGAAACCTGCACTGGCCAGGTGGTGGTGGCGCGCACCTTTAATCTCAGCACTGGGGAGGCAGAGGCAGGGGGATCTCTGGGAGTGCGAGGCCAGCAAGAGCTAGTTCCAGGACAGCTAGGACTACACGGAAGGGAGGGAGGGAAGGAGGGAGGGAGGGAGGGAGGGAGGGAGGGAG